CCCATGAGCTCTCCTGAGTCTCCATGTTGTGGATGCAGACCTTGGAATTTCTTAGTGTCCCTGATCATATGAATCAATTTCTTATAATATAGCCATCAACGTGATGGAGGCATGACTCAAGTGGTGGAATGCCTGCCTAGCAATCATGAGGTCTGGATGCGAAGGTATGGGAAGGGGAAACAAAGGAGGAGGCTACAATGCTTGATAAGAAATGTACTCATTATCTTGCCCATATAATTGTAACCCCTCTGTACAGTATTTTCACAATAAAAAAATAAAAATTTTAAAAAACAAAGTAAACAAATAATTAAAAAATAGGTAAATAAATCTATCCATGGATAGATAAGACAAAAAAGAATAGACATGGATTACCTATTTATTTTATTTCACTGGAGGACCCTGACTAGTACATATTTTGTTAAACTATACTTTAACACCTTGTACATTTGGAATTTAAGGAATTATTTGAAAGAAAGCTCAATGTAATTTATTTCAGAACTGTTTCCAACATGTCCATCTTTTTCTATGTTTCTATATTTCTTTTCTAATGTTTCCAGCATTATCTATATTAATGCTTTGAAGTTAAGCTTACTAAGATTTTTCTTTTTAATCTAATTGTGATTTTATGTTGAATTTTAAAATTATATTGTATTATATCAAGTTAAATCAAATTATACTTTGTTATGTAGTTACATTTCTTTCTCTCATCCCCAAATTGATTACTTCAGGTAGGCTCTAGAATCATGCTTCCATGTTTCAAAATTCATGAATCAGGAACTTATGATTGAAATTTCATTGGATTTACTCTTCATTATTTTTGGATAAAGTGAATAATTTATAATTTGGAGTCAAACTCTAAGAAATTTGTAAGTGCGTCCTGCTATATTCAAATCTTCTTTGTCTCCTGAAAATTTTTCATTTCTTTGTTTGCTTTGCACATAGTCAGAGAGCAGTGTTAAATAGAGTTTTCTACAGATGATGACTTAATTTTTCAAAATTTTATTTTATTGTAAAGATGCTGTAGAGGGGTTACAGTTATATGAGAAAGTTAATGAGTACATTGCTTGTTGAGCATTGTTACCCCTTGTTTTTCTCCTGTTAACCCTCCCCACCCCCACTCCTCCCCCTACAAGTTGTAAAATTCATTTCCAACAGTGTCTTGTGAGTATCATTGTTGCACTGTTTTTAATTTTTTTAAGTTTGCATAAATGCTGTGTTATCTGGGGCACATATTTTCCCCATGAATGTAACTTTAATTCCTAAGAGATGTTATTCTTTATTACTGTTTTCCATCTCAAATGTAATTTGATTGGAATCCTCTTATGTTGCTAACTTTGTTTGACTGATAAATCTTCACACTTTGCCTTTTACTTAATATGTCATTGGCTTTTATTTAATAGTTGATTTTTAAAAAGAAAGTTTTAAAAATGCACTGTCATAATAGTGTGGTTGGAATTTTGTTGTTATGTCTTTCCTTTATTTATTATTTGCTTTATGGGTTTTGTTTAATGAATTTTGTTAGCGTTCATCTTTTTCTATTAGTTTTTTGTGTGAATGTTTTCCAGAAATATCTTTTGTCTATATCCACATACCAAAATGAAAACTAAAATTGGCTTTTTTGATAACTCTCAACGTAATATTAGAAATTTCTATCTTTAAAAACTTTGTCAGTAGGGCATTTGCTTTTCTAAGTGATCTATATTAAAATCTTTTATGCAACACATCTTCAATTATAACTTCTATCCCCAGTTAATTTTGAAGACATATTTCCAACAATTATTAATATATGCCGTAGATGTGACTAGCTTTATGCTCATGTCCTGTCAGCTTATTCACATCACCAAAATATGCATATGGTAGAACAGACTGCACTTCTATGCTAGAACAGTCAATTTTCTTGATATTTTCACAACCCGTGTACCACTAATTTCTGTTACCTTCCTTCTGAGAAACAAATGAGATCAGAAAATGGGTGGTTATAGTCTATCATTGCTAACTCACATCACATCACAATCCAAAGTGTCCTTTAGAAGGCAAATTGAACAGACAGGAAACTATTATTTACCAATTATTGGTGACATTTTTGATACAAAAAGTGTGTTTAATGGTTTATTGTCTTCAAAGGATATTCTTGAAATGGTGGTCATATACTCCAAAATTTAGATGCTTTGATCAGTAAGTGAACACCAGTCCAGCTTATCATTCATCCCTGAGACCAAAAGAACTCACCTGCCTAGTCAAGCTCACAGAAGAGGAGCGTGTCTTAAGCTAACCTCTCACTGGTGTTAATACAATCTTAAACTGCTGAGCCTAATAAATAAAGCTCTCACCAGAAGAGGGCAGAGTAGTAAGGTGGCAGTTGTTTGAGATAACCCTGGACTGAGCACAAAGGGAATGACAGATCTTTTCATGGTTCTATTTCTTTGTGTCCTGAACTTTTAGAACCATTATTTATGACATCAAATCAGCTTAAGATTCTTAACAGTATAAAACACACAGAAAAAACTTCAACTTTTGGGTGAGTGCGAAAGCACCCCAAAATAACATCATGGGTTATTCAAATCATATGAATCCTTTTTTTTTTCTTTTCTTTCTTCCTTCCTTTTTTTTTTGGTAAGTCGTGGGGCTTGAACTCAGGGCCTGGGCTCTGTCCCTAAGCCTCTTTGTGCTCAAGATTAGCACTCCACAGTGCCACTTCTGGTTTTTGAGTAGTTAATCAGAGAGTCTCATGAGAACTTTTTTGCCCAGGTTAGTTTGAAACATGATCCTCAGATCTCAGCTTCCTGAATAGCTAGGAATATAGGCATGAGCCACCGGTGCCTGGCAGAATCCTCTTTTCCTTATAGAACATGCACAGTACATGATGTTCACTGCTGTGTTATGGGTCCTCAATGCCACTGTCTGTGGGGATTTGTACTCAAGAAGGCAAATCTACTGTCACAAGTTGCTGGTGCACAGGGCAAGGCAGGTTGTTGAAATTCATGTCCAAATTCTGTGTTAAATGGGACATAGGCTAGTCAACACAATATAGGAAGGCTTGATTTCTGTCTTTTAGCCCAATAGTCTAGTAGGTGCTAAAACAACTAAAGATGAATATGACTCTTTCTCTACATTCTTTGGGTCAACACTTAGGACTTCTGAGAGGTTCAATTGAATAAATGCAGGCAAATTATCACCCGAAGGTAACATGTTACTGTGAAAACCTTTGTTATGGATTGGAAAAAAGGATGAATATGAATTTGGAAATGTCAGTGGTTAACCACATTGTCTTCTAGTAAATAGGCTTTGTCTTCTAGTAAATGGACTATTTCCTGGAAGCAATGTAGTTGCTTTCGAAGCAGTCTGAATGTATTCAATCCTAAATGGTACGTCAATGACTTCTAAAAGATGTGACTCATAAAAATCTACCCATAGAGGCCTGTGTTTTTCCTTTCAAACACCTCAGATATTCTCAATATGAAAATGAAATGTTTGGAAAGTTGGCTCACCATGCCTCCCAGGTGAGATTTATGAGGCCTCATTTCTACCCAATAACTTAAGTACTTTTCACATCATTTTACCGATGCAAAAATTCAAACTGTATCAGAGCCAACTGCTTTTTTCCATTTAATTGATGATATACATCAGGGATTGGCAAAAAACCCACAGAACAAATTTGGCCCACCACTTGCTTTTGTAAATAAAGTTTTATTAGAACATGGTCATGCCCATCCATTTACATAGTACTTATGGCTGCTTATGCATTGTTAGGAAGTTGTGACAAAGATAATAATGTCCCACCAAGCCATAAATATTTTACTATCTGGATCTTTACAAAGACATTTGCCAACCACTGGTGTATATTATTAGATACATTAGTAACCATCTTATCACTAAAAGTACCACTAATTCATTTTCTATGAGCACGTCCACAAATCAAGAATACAGGTAACATATTTCATTAGAACTAAATCTCATTTCCAAACAGTCCAAGAAAGACTAGTCTTCCTGATTCAATGTTTGTATCTCAGAGTTCCTTCCCTGAGAAGTTAATTTCTCACTTCAGGAAACAGACGCAGACATTCAAAAGTGTTCTTTTATTATTCCTAGTAACATAGATTGCATAAATACTCTATTTTTATATGCACTTTTACAAAAGTGACATTAACTTAAAAGTTTTTATCATTAGAAATAAATGTATAAAAATAAATATGTTATTATAGGCATTTATTACAAATTACAGTCCTTCCCAGAAGGAACACACAACCAATACTTACAAAGTACATACAATTTACAGCAACATGTTTTTACTATGTACACATGGACAAAGTCATAGTCTCTCTCAGTAGAAGAGGTGAACAGATATTCACCAGGATAAGACTGTTGGACCGGCTGCTACGGGGAAGAGCCTGCTACCCCTCAGCAGGCTGCCTACTACAAGATGAGTGAGCTCAATGTCCTTGTTCTACATGCTCCATTCTTACTCTGGCATTGCATCTTTTCAGTGTGATCCTACTGACTTTCTTGTAACATAAATTATTTTTCTTTCACATGCACATTTCCCAAGTAGGCTTACATAAGGAGGAAAGTCTGGTTGGGAGGTACCGCGATTACCATATCTCCTTTAGTTTTCCCAGTAGCTAGCACTCTGCTGCTTATTTGCACCTTTGTGGACTTGATGCCCACCAACCCACATGTGAATTGTTCCTTCCTCAAAATGAATCACACAGACAAAGACTGAGATGGTAACAGGGAAGGAACCGTGAGTTGTGTCCCAGGGCTGAGCCTTTCTTTCAACTATCAGAACTCTTTCATTCTTAACAGAAAAAGGTATAAACATTCTGTGAACCTATCAGCCATATGCAGTGCCGATCCCACTTCCTGCTGGAACTGTTCTCCCCATGTGGTTTGGGAGGTTAAGTAAGCCATGTCTTCAAGGAAAATTTCTCTTTCATTTGCTTTTCTTTTCCCAGAGCATTCAATCAGTACCAGAAAACAGGACTTGCAACGTGTCAGGCTCATTTTTTTTTGTAATGGATATAACGAAACAAATGAAATCCATGTTCTGGAGCCTTTATCGTGCTGTGTTGTTGCTCAGAGTCTAATAATGCATATTAACTACCTTATCAAATTGGCTGCATATTCTTATGATCTACCTCCTATCTTCTCCATCCTCCCATCAAGTTGACACACCTCACTGGTTACAGGCAAGAGAAATGAGATCCCTCCGGCATTCTGGATTTCCAAGCATCAGCCCTTCCCCACTGACTCTCCCTCCAGACCCACACTGCTTAACTGCATTCCGCTATTGTGCAGAAGTCGATGTAATGCTTCGGTTTCTTTAAAGGATCGCAGCTCTCATGGGACAGCACCCCCCCATCATGGGACAGACACTTCAGGGTTCTCTTTTTGTAACCCTTCCCACAAGTCTTGGAACATGGCGACCATTCACCCACCTGCCATTGGGGGCAAGGCAGGTCTGCGCAAGGTCTGGTGCTGTCTGGCTTCACTTCCTTTGCACACTCGGAAGCAGGCTGCCCATTCATGTCTCGACATTCGACTAGTCTTCTCTGCCAACCCAACCCACATGACTTAGAACATTCACCCCACTCTTCAATGACCCATTCTGAAAAAGTTGGGATGGCATTGAATGATTCCTTCTTCTTCTTCACAAAGTAGGTGTATTTAATTTTGGGCCTGAGGGCATTGCCCACAGTAAGAACTTGAATGGTTAAGGGCTCTTTGAGTGGGCTAAAGCTGCGAATTCTTTCCAAGGCTGCGGAAGAACCACTGTACCTTAAGACAATGCCTTTGTAAGTAATGTCTTGCTCTAGAGTTGACAAAGTGAAGTCACCATTCAGGATGTACGTGCCATCAGCAGCCCTGATAGCAAGAAAGCTGCCATTGTTTCTGGATCCCCTTTGGGTCCGTTGTTTTACTTCAATGTTTGTGGCTCCAGCTGGAATTGTGACAATGTCATGATATCCAGGTCTATGAGGGAAAAAAATAAATAGGTTTAACTAATTACATTTTAGTGTAATTTGTCCCTAGCCTTCTAAAATGATACACCTAAATTATAAGGTCTCTGAAATACATGACTTAAAAAACAAAAACTTACTTTGCACTAGTAACTGAGCCAGATATTTTCTTGCAGGTAGAACCATTTCCTCCACAAATACCACATTTATCAAACTTCTTTTTGGAGTCTATGATGCGATCGCAACCAGCCTTTACACACTGGCCTTGCACACAGACAGAAGTGGAGTCTGGACTACATGGAGTGCCATCCACAACCTGCAAAGAGAACATGCATCTGGGTGTTAATTAGAAGGAAGGCTAGGAAACCTCCATGACTATGAACGTTTTTCTCTCCGCATTCTTGACCATACTAATGAAAGTGATTTTCTCTGGACATGGCATGCATGACTTTGTCAAGTTTCTGTAACTACCTGAAAAAATTTACATTTTGTATTTGTTTATTTTCCTATTTTCCTAAGAACTAAGGCCAGTAAAAGAACAGATTGCCAACTGGATTATTTCTATACCCTCAATGTCTGTAATAAAATCCTGCAATAAAAGGTGCACTGTATGCTGGGCGTTGGTGGCTCACACCTGTAATCTTAGCTACTCAGGAGGCTAAACTCTAAGGATCACAGTTTGAAGCCAGGAGAGTCCTGAGACTCTTATCTACACTTAACCACCAGAAAACCGGAAGTGGAGCTGTGGCTTAAAGTGTTAGAGCACCAGCCTTGAACAGCAAAGCTCAGAGACAATGCCCAGGCCCTGAGTTTTAGTCTCAGGATTGACACTAAAATAAGATTAAACTAAATTAAAAATAAAAATGTTCTGTATATCATTTGCTAAATGTTGAATCTGCAACTTGGGATTGGTTTCATACCCTACAATGCAATAACACATCAAAATCTCAATCCAGCTTAATTTCCTTGTCTACCTTAGAACAAGATTTATCATACTAGAAAAACCGCAAAGGAAATAATGCTTCTCTGTTTCATATGCATGCTGACACTTCCATTTTCCTAAGTACATTTGTGCATGCTACTACTAGTTGTCCAGTAACAAGTACTTTGGACTACGCTTAAATTGTTTTCCCCAAATAACTGGTGGCTGTGTTAATATATAATTTATCCAGCAATGAGTTATGTATAAAACCTTATTGTCCAGAAAAGAATTTCTCAAGATATATAATTTTATATATCATATATTGTATATAACATATACAATATCATGTACATATAATACTAAGTGATTGCAAGAATCTTAAGTGGTATATTTTGGCTCCCTAAAAGCAGCAGTAAACTCAATGCAGACAGTTGCTAAGGCATAAAAGTCCAAATTAAAAGTGGAACACAAAGAGAAAGCAAGTCAGAAGTTGTATCAAAAGCTAGCAAGCCAAGTTCTTGGCTCTTAGGCAGGACAACATGTGAAAGGCCCTACCTCAGGCTTTAAAACAAAGAAGTAGCCAATGCCTTTGGCTTGACAGATGAGCTTGCACCTGTCCTTTGGAGAGACGCCAGCATACTTGGGCGTCCACTCCACCGCGGGCCCACTTCCAAAGGAGGCTTTTGAAAATTCATTGTGTTCTTCACATTGTTCTTCTCTGAAGGTTTTTCCTGGAAAGAGAACAATGACATCAGTTTCCAACTTTGACCATGTACTGTGGGCTCATTTCCTTTACCCCATCTCTCCAAGCAGAGGTTCGCTGCTGCTCACCATTATTATCTGGACAGTCCTCAATGTTACATGACTTGTAGCGCACTCGCTTGCCTTCGCAGTACTTCCCTCCATTCTTTGGGACCGGGTTGTCACATTCCCTCATTGTATACTGCACCCCTCCACCGCAGGTTCTTGAACAGTCTCCCCAAGGTCCCCACGGCCCCCAGCTTCCATGGACAGGAGTCTACGTGGGGAAACAAACCATCCGTGTTAGAATTCTCCAATGAAAAGAAGAGGGAAAAATGTACAAGGAAAGGAGCAATTCTAATATTAAGCTAGCACAGAATTTTGCACAGAAGACACAAACGGGGATGTTTAACAGTAAGAAATCTTTTAGCATCACTTTGAATTCTGAATTCTAAAGGTGTGTAAACACATTTTAGCAGAAAAACTCACATCAAAATGCTTCTTGTCAGTCTTGTTCACACACTTCCCATTTACACACCATTTCCCTTCTTCACAGTTGGTGCCATCTGCCCAGGGGAAGTGTTTGGTTTGGCATACAAGCAGGCCTCCAGAGGTACCAGTACACCACAGAGTGGTACAGGTACTGGCTTCATCCGGGCAGTGTTTGGACTCTTCCCCAAATGTAAACTGGCACTGGCGGTTGGCATCATAGAGGGTGCCAGGGAGATCAGACGGAAGCTGGATGGGGTTCTGGGGCTTGTCCATCAAACATTCCCCTGCAAAGAAAATACCAGGTAATACGTAGATTACGATGGTGTGCAAGGTATAGATCACGGTGTTATTAAGTATTTGTCTGAAAACTGTAGATGTGTAGGAGAAAATGCCAGGGAGATTAACATTGTTATTATAGATTATGTCTCCATCAATAACGGTAGGATGTTATTATTCGGTTCGAACTAGGAATGAATGGATTTTGAGGGCCATTTAGATGGCAATACAATCTTCATTGGGTATTAAAAGTCTGAATATTTATAATCTTGATAGAAGAAAGTAATTGGGAAACAAACCAATTCCCCCCCCCCAAAAAAAAGATCTCCTTCATCTACAAGCTTATGTATGAATGGTGGGTGGCTATCTAGAAGGAGTAGCACCATCATCTTACCATGACCGTTATCCAAGAATGAAGTGATCGTGCTGGCACTGCAGGGAGACCACGGCTGGCTACGGTCCAAATTGGAAAGCATCGACGCCATCATGTGCGAATTCTGGTTCACTCCATTATGGCCGGCACACTGCTTGGCATCATCATGTGGCATATTAAACACGTGGCCTAGGAAGCGATCCAAACTCACAGTAAAACAGAGGTAATTGGCAGCATTTTTTTTCCCCTGCTAGACAGGACTCATTTGTCTCCCAGTGATATTTCTACAAGAAGAAATGTATTTAGGAGACTATTCACTGTGGAGACAATGCCTACTTCTCACGGAGTATACGGAAAATTTCCCACTGTCCTTTGCACATCCTACTTTTGTTCTTTTCCTAATCATCAGGTTGAACTCATGAAGTGGACACGACTTGGACTCTGAAACGGACTTACCTAATTCATGGGCTGTGGTAAAGGCAGCTTGCAAACCATCATCTTCTATGACCGAGCAGCTTCTGCTGGGATCACACACAGTTCCAACATCAGCCATGCCTAGAGTGTCACATGTCTGGACCCCACATAGATCCTATAAAGAGTAAACGCAAATCCACATTAATGACCCTATTCACCTATAGACAGATGAAAATGTTAAGGAGAAGACATGGGTGAAATGGCTTTCAGCCATGGCTACAATGCTGACTCTTGGAATAACACAGTCATTAGCATTGCCTGGCGCTCACCTGTCTCGTGAAAAGAATGGCCGTGTCATAATGCTCAGCGTATCTGTCACTAGGACGGTTGTGCTGCTTTTGCCAGTTACAGAAGTTTCGCAGGGTGAGGGCAGCATTGGAAGTCACTTCTGGCCCCTTCTGTTCTTCATAGATAACCAAAATCTTCACCACCACGAGGCTGATGGAATTGCGAATGCTGGGGTGCTTGTACAGCCTGGCTGCCACCGAGAACAAGGTGAGCAGGTAATGCTTCAGCCCGCTGCCGTGGAACTCTGCCATCGACTGGTCTGCCACGAGCATGGTTTCTACATAGCGAGGGCTGGACACAAACCGTTTCTTTCTTATGCTGCCAGTTACTGTAAAGAAACACAGACGAAGACCATTTGCTCAGCACAGACGGTCAATCCAAGAACAGTGATCTTTCCCGACTCTTTAAAGGAGGCGGAATGAGTCAAGGCCAATAGAAGCAAAATAGAACAGCCAAAACTAGAACAAAATTTGCATTTGTCTTTTAAAAAATGTCATTTAAAAAGTTTTGTGTTTTGTTTTAAACTTTTAAAAAATGTCCTGGAGAGATCAGGTTGTGTGTGTGTGTGTGTGCGTGTGTGTAAGCAAGGATTTCTTCTGCCCCCTTTGAAATCCTACAGTCTGAGCAAGGCATTGTGCACACCAGCTATAGTAAAAAGAAAAGAAAAGAAAAAAAATGTTGGAGGAAGGGCAGCACCAGGCAGCGCGCCCAGAGTCACTCTTCCACTCAAGCCAGGACTTCAGTCCTGAATGAGACCATCAGGCTCCACGTGGAAGGCATAGGGCCGGGCCTGGCGGCTGCCAAGGGGCGGAGCCTGCAGGAATCTCAGCCTGCATTGCTCAGCTCTCATTCCAGGGGTCCCTGGGGCTCTGTGCTCGGGCCAGTTCCCGGCAGGAGGACCACCCACTCTGCCCAGTAGACCATTGTCCCACTCCCACTGCCCCAGGGAAACAAGTTCCTGCCTTGAACCCCGGCTGATGATTTGGAAAAAGTCTGATGACTCGCTGCCACCCATCCCCACCCCCACTCCCTGAGAAATCCTAAAGTGGGTGGTGATGACCCAAGTATCTGCTTCCAGCAGCAACGGACACGGGAGAAGGGGGAGGGGGAATTCTAAAACAAGGCATGGGAGCAGAAAACATGACACCACTGCGATTTAAAAATATATGTCCATCTGGACCGTCAGGACTGTGGTACAGAGTCAGAGAAAGGCGCAGCAGGAAGAGTCAGCCGGGGCTCACACTCAGCCAGGCTTTAAAAGCAGAATTATGGCCGCGAGAGGGAGCGCAAACCCGGAGGCGGGGCGCGTAGAGCAAAGACCTCCCAAGCAGGGTCGGGCGAGGGGGCCCCTCGGCCGCCAGGCCTTTTAATGGGGGCGGGGGGAGGGAGAGGACAGAAGCCCACAGCACAGAAGATCTTGAGCACAGCTGCCCCGGGAATCACCGTTCCTCCTCCTTCCTCTCCATCTCCGCCCTCTTCTGCTCGCTGGCCAGCGGGAAGCTACCAACCCGCCAAGCCGCGCGCGCGCGCGCGCACACACACACACACACACACACACACACACAAGTGGATAGAAGAAAAAAAATGACACATTCTCACACTCCACTAAAGGTTTCGGATTCGAGTGAATCCGAACTTGTGCACAGTCAAATCGCTTGTGCTTAGTCTGTAGAAAACCACTGACTTATCCTTTCTTGGTTATTTATTCCTTGGGCAAACAGAATAAGAGCTCTCATTACACTGGCTTCTAAACTACTTTCTTTCACCCCAGGTCTCCCTTCTGTCTGGTCTCAGGTCTAGGGTGACTGAAAGCCAGGATGCACACCCCTCGAATCAAAGGCAGTAGAGAGGAGAGAGATGAATGGAAAGCCAAGGAGAGGGTTAAGCTTCTACCTGTTGTTGGCTGTCCCTCTCGTTCCGGATCCCGGTCTCTTTGGGGCCACTGAGTCTCAGACTCTTCGCCCTCGGGTCCTGAGCCCCTGGCGGGCAGGGGATCTTCGTCCACGACTCCACATTTGGCGCCGCCGCCCCGCCGCCGCCGGCGAAGGAGATGGAACTGGGGCGGCGGCGCGGGCGGCTCCACCCCGGGCGCGCGGGGGGCGACGCGCTCGGTGGCCTCGGCGGGCGCGGGCTGGATGAAGAACTCCTCGCCCCGCAGGTAAAAGGCGCCTCGAACACCCTCGCAGAGGCTAAGGGCGGCGGCTGAATTGGGGTCACCATTCACCGTGCCGGAATAGAAGCAGTGGGCCAGGTCGCCGGCGGGCTCCAGACGCTGCGTCTCGGGTTCGGGTCTGCGTCCCACGGTCTGGAGTGTGAAGCCGGGCGCCAAGAACCCGTGATCCGGATGCAGCTTCAGGTGCAATGGTTGACCAAAGGCCTCCAGGAGGAGGCGCGTGGTCCCCCGGCCGCCGGCGCGCTCCAGCGTGGGGAGCACCAACTCTTCGTCCTCCTCCGTGGGGCGCCCGTGAGCGCCCGGCACGGACAGCAGCCCGGCGGCCGCCGCGAGCAGCAGCGGCGGCAGCAACGCGATCACCCTGGAGGGTGCAGGCCGAGAGCTCCGAGATCGTGACACCGGCATGGTGGTCTCCACGTCGTTACCAGACTTGGTCCCTTCGACACCCCCCTGTCGGGATCGCTGGGCTGGCACCGGAGACCCGCCGGGACGCGCCGCGCACCGCCGCGCGCTGAGCCGGGGAGAGCGCTTTTTTTGTTCTGGATCTTTCAAGTGAACCAGGACGGTTATTCTTTTCTATTAAAAATGAGGCTAATGGCGCGCACAGCCGGAGACAACCGAAGCTTCCTGAGTCCCTTAGAAGACCGAGCTGCGGGAAGTTGGTTTTTTTTCCCACCCCCTCGGAACGCGTAAAGTTGGAGACACAGCCCCGGGAAGGCACCGCGCTGTCCCGCGAACACGATGCGTTTTCGGGGTGCCTTTGGGATGGATAGGGATGCGGGGGGCAGGCTTGGGGAATAACTGGAAGTTCAAGTGCCTGGCTCCACTCGTCGTCCTCCGCCTGGATCACAGAGATGCTCGCTGTCAGAAGGGTTAGGGAGATTGGGGGGGGAATTATTATGATAATTATTATTATTCTGCCTTCTCTTTTTCCGCCTCCTCCCCCCTCGCCGGGCTCTGCTCTCAAGGCTTTGTAAATAGCACCTGGCTCCTAGCTGCTTGGCCAGCGAGTGCAAGAATCGGGCAGCCCGGGCTGCCCCTTTATAGACCCGCAAGAGGCCCCTCCTCGCTCTTGGCCGCCTTCCCGGTGCCGGAGACGCCGCCCCCTGAGCTCAGCCGGTGTTAAACCGCGCTCAGCGCCGCGGGCCCCGGCGGGGGAGGGGGCGGCCCCCGCGCTGGAGCGCAGCCACCACCCGGCGATCTGGAGACCGAAGACGCACCGGGGGCGCGGTGACCAGCCCAGCGGACACCTGAGACGAGAAGAGGAAGGAGCAGGTTGTCCCTGCCACCGTGCCTCTCCCCGGCCCAGCTTCTAGAAACACGCTGCCTTCCCGCCGCCTCCCGTCCCGGTCTGCAATCCAGTGGAGCGTGGGGTTTCTGCGCAAAGTTCCCCTTGCCTCGAGCCGTGCACCCCTGCCCCCGCCCTCAAAGCGCCCCCACAGTTTGGGAGATGAGCAGTGGCCCTTTTTTATAAATACTCCTCCATCACCCCCCCCCCCAAAATCATCTCACCTCCTCCCCAGCTCTTGCCTCCAGAAGTTTCCTAACCAACTTTTGCCTTCAACTGTTCTTGGGTGGAGGGGACCTGGGGGCGGGGGCGATGGTGTGGAGAGGACTATTTCTGAGCTTCCACTAGAAAGTTCTGAGTGAGGGGCCCAAGAGACGCTTCCAGGCTCTGGATTCCCCCCCCCCAAATGCCTATGCGCTGACGTCAGCGGTCACCCCCTTCACCCCGACCCCACCCCCTCACCCCCGGGGACTTGTGTCGGGGACCTAGGTTCACGTTTCCGGCACGGGTGATCTGGAACAGAGTTCAATTCCCTAAAGCCCGAAGGAGGCAAAAGTAAAAAAATAAATAAATAAAAATAACAAACTCCCGCCCAGGCGGAGATTTCCAAAAACCCCACCGCGGCCGCCGCAGGCCCCAGGTTAGGGGCGGGGGTGGCCGGGGAGGGGCGCGGGAAAGTCCAGGGAGCCACGGCCCTGGCAGGAGCCCCGCGGCGGCCGATCGCGGGGGTTGGGACACGAGGCCCGCATCCTTTTCCTCCCCCCGCTCCTCTTCCTATCAGGAAGGGAAAAGGCTGCGTCCGCGTTACGAAAGCGACAAAGGCTGAGTGTTCCTGGCCCCGAGTCACCAAAGAAAAACGCTGGGCGGCCCGGCGGCCCCGCTGGAGGGACGGAGGGCTCCGGCAGCCGCAGGAAGGAAACGCTCCTCCATGCGCTCCCGGGGCGAGAGCCGGAGGGGACAATGGGGAGAAAGACCTCCCAGGTCCGGGGCAGCCCCCGGCGCTCCCGCTCCCCACTCCCACTTCCGAGCCCCGCCAGGCCCGGCGTCTCGCCGTCCCACCCCTGTGCCGCCGTCGGGGGGTCTGGTCCCCTTCTATGCTCCTTTCCAAACCTTAAACGTCGGTTAGCCTCAATCAGAAGCCCTCCCCCTCATCACCCCCCCCAATGTATTTTTCTAGAGGCTTTCCAGGATCTGTTCTCTCGGTTCTACATTGCCTACTTGGGGAAACAAACAAACATTAAATCTCTGCATCCCTCTCCTGCGGAAAGATCACCCGAGAAAACATAGCGGGAGGGAAAGACCGGGAGAAGGAGGGAAGGGGGAGGGAGATAGAAGGAGATAGAGACAGAGAGAACCACTTCATCCTCCAAAACACTTAACTCCCCTGGGGTCTCCCCTATCTCAGGAGGGGGTTCTGTTTTAAATGTAATCTTACATTTCCACGCACGCTCACAAAAGTGGATCATCACCACAACTTTCTTTTCGGAGCGGTTCCACCCCCCCTCCCCCATCGAACATTCCACCCTTGGGGTTCTGCCTTCTTTCTCTACCCCAACTTAGTCAGCCATCAAATTCAGAGTAGAGATCCACACACTCCAGCAGCTCCTGGCTTCGGATGTTAATGGCCCTCGGTCTTTATCTGTAAGAAAAGAGGGTAACTCCTCTTTGCTTCACAAATGGCCTTTCCCAACAAATGAGTATCACTCCTCCCCCAGTTCGGTTGGCAGACATATTTTACTTCTCTTACAGTAGTTCTATAGCAGTCTAGCATTCCTTTTCTTTTCTTTTTTTAAAATGATTTCATTAAGTGTAGACTCTTCCAATAACATTTGTAAAAAGATTATGTTAGGCTTACAGATTGATTGATCATGGCGAAGTCATTTTCAGACCTCTTGATTAGCAGAGAGCCCACTCAGAAAACAACACGTGGAGCAGCATTTAGGATTTAGCGTCTTTAAGATGGAGATTTCACAGAGTTCAGGTGGCTGAAGAACTTTACTAGAGCCTCATCAACTCCATTCCCTTCAATTGAGGCAGGAATCGAAACTCAGCAACACAGAATGTGTTACTTACACAAACAAAACAAAACAAAAGTCATGTAATATATTCCCATCTACGAACTGCTCTGCATTAGGCTTCAAAATAAATGAATCCAAGTTTGACCTTCTATCCATCCCTGCCTCCATCCAGTATGTGTTTATTGATAGTTTATTTAATGTAAGGCAGACATTTCCAGTGTTGAATGGGTTATTTCAAATCCACTATAATTTTTTTTCTTATTTCATGTTGTATGTCCAAACAGAGCTGAAAAAACAATGAGTTAAAGAGAAAAGAATTGCCAGGAACATGGCTTTTTTATTCTCTGGGTTTCTCTCCAGATTTCTGTTCTTTTGCATAATGACTCCAATCTGTTGTGCACCTGTAGTTCTGGGAAGTGATTCTTTTTTAATCGTTTCAGCAGACACATGGATGTAGCAGTTGCCAATTACTAAGCTGAAAACTCCACACTCAGAACATCTAATCCATTTACCTTTTTTTTTTAAAGTCCAGTATTCTTTAGGTGTTTGGAGTATTACACAAAAACATACCTATAGCAGAGAGGTATGTATTTGTAAGCAAAATGGGAATTGGAAAAATAAAATATTTGACTTAAACAAACATTGTTCATGTCACTAATAAAAGTGACACTGACACTCATTCCCTGTAGTAAGCTTTGAATTCTCATCTTCATAAAACTTTTATTCTCAGAAAACCACGTGCTGGCCTGAGCTTTACTTACCATATTTCTGGTTTGCTTTTTATAGAACACACATGAGTTTATACGAACATTAATCATAATATACTCAATTTATAGGCTTTGATCATTTTTTTCAGTTATTTGTAGAGATGATCAAACAAGAGCTAAAGCAGTTGATTTAAAACTCCTCTTTCAAAGGTTTGACCTTTGAAAAGCATGCTTGTCCTTTCTGAACTGAGGGACTTCCTGAAAAAGAAAGAAAAGAAAAGAAAAGAAAGCTTTGGGCCTTTTTAAACCATAAAGTTCACTTATCTTTGTACTTGTGTGTTTATGTTTGTTTCACTGGCTCATACGTTGTAGACAAAATGCTCTTCTTAATTTCCATGTGGCCTATCGCTAAGTGAGTCTTCAACAAGTAGCCATGGTATGAGGAAAGTTGGCAACACACAGGGGCAAATAGAATTGTTTTGGTATAAATGTTGTCTATAGAAATTACTAATGCACATACTGCAAAACCACAAGAAGGCCTTTGTTCATGTTTTCATACTGTAGGATTTACCAATTAGAAATATGAAAGCTGTTTGACTAAGGAACATATAGTCAGAAAATAACACTGAACCTATAGATGCTTTAATAGTATTTGAGAAAATTAACAGACAACATCTGTTTTATAAGAAGTTATAGACTGGAAAAGAATTCTACCAAATCTTGAAGAATGAAAAGAGATCATAAATTACATTAGGACATACAAAGTCTAGGTCTACAATATTATGCATTTTTAGGCTGGAGAGGAGGATAGCCTTTCTAATTGATTTCCTTTAAAAAGAATCATAGAAAAAATGAACCTCAGAAGGGTTGACTTGCCCAAAATTGTGTGAAATCTCGGGAAACAGAAAAATCAGAGTGAAAGAAGTGGCCTGACAAAAGACCTTGATCATATCTCCTGGCATTGAAACCACATAAATATCTTGTAGATAGATATATTGCCAGACGTAGGACTGATGTTGTTTACAATTATTAGATCTCATTTGATTGTCCACAGGCATTTTCTAGTAATAAAAAATTTCCACCTTAAGAAATTTTCAGCCTTTAGTACCTCTTTCTTATCCCACAAGGTGGCGATAGTCTACAACAAATGATGTGTGACTTTTTTTCTTACCACTCTAAGTCAGAAATTTGTATCTTTCACAACTTTTTGGTCATATGTTACAGGCCTTTATCAAATTTTTCTTATCTTTTTTGGGTAAAATAAAATATTTCTAAAGTATTTCTAGAATGTTGCAATATGAACTGTATTTACATTCTTGAAAGTATATTAAAATGCTTTATCAAATTACTAACATCAGCCAACTACTTTTTAATCATGTGGCTCTGTTAAACACACTTATAAAAAATCAACTGAATTTTCTAAAAAGAAAACTACCTTGGGTCACTTATTTCTCACATTTGAGAACTCAAGGCAAATTAAAAAAAAAAAAAGCTATGAACAGAAACAGATTTAAAAATCATCTATTCAGTAGATATTAATCATGTATGATATTTTTATTTACTGTATTGAACAATCAATATTGAGGTTCACTAGCTTCTCTGAAATTATAACTTGTAAAAACACCAAAAATTTTGTAGAAAAATGAAAGTGAAAAAAATGTCATACCACCAGGTGGTGACAAAAGATAAAATTTAAAGCAAGACTTTAAGAATAAGTACTGCAATATTAATCATAAATGCAAGTGGTTTCCCAATGTCATGTGATTTCAAACTTTTATTCCGGGAGATTGTCTTATTGCATAATGGTAATATTGGTATATACCTTGAGGTTAATAACTACTGGAACTTGATAAAGGACATTTTAGTCAGCAGGCGGCACATGAGATGACAGATTAAGAAGTGTTAAACTGGCCAGGTAGGTGATGGTGGCTCATGACTAGTTCTAGCTACTCAGGAGGCTGATATCTGAG